ATGAGTGAGGAGAGAGGAATACTTATAAATGTGCTGGCAGATTAAACAAATATCTCTTGTCTGCAAGTTTTGCGTTGTTGTCAATAATGGCTGGAAAACATGCAGAAAAAGTATATAAATTTATTATGCTAGGTTGTATAGAGTTATAAGTGATATATGAAGCATGGAAATGGACTTGTGTGTCTCTGGAATTGCCTTTGCGAGTTATTATTTTGATGTGTCTGTCAGAGCTGCGGGGAGAATAACACAGGCTAAGCACGGACAGAAACAGCTGATGAATTGGGGATTGGTGGTAATTTGGTTTCAAAGCATTCTCTAGGGTTTTTCTCAAGTCTGGGACAAATATGCATGACAGGATTGGGACTTCAGTAATCAGATTTTCTGGGGAAGAGATGAAAACAGATTTCACTTGTATCAGGGCAATTGCTGCAGAGAACACTGTGTTTAATCTGAGCTTGTATGGATTTGGGAGAATACAGTCGCCTGGCGTTGCGGCTGGACAGATGTGTTCTCTCTCCCTACCATTACTTGTGGAAAATGCCATTTAGGAAATGCTTTGGTTTCACTCCCCTTCTTTGGGCTGCACAAGGAAAAGAAGGCCAAGGAGCAGAGGGTTGCAGAGGGTGAACCCATTTGCATTGCCGAGAAATACTCCTTAGAGGCCAAGTTTGAGGCAGAGAAGGGGAGCAAGCATGCCTGTGGACAGAAAGAGGATTTTAGTATCCAGGACAGCCAACCCTGCACTCTTCATAAGCACTAAAATTCAACAAGTTTGCATCTGTCAGTAGTGTGCCTCTTTCTTCAGCTCTTTGATCGCTGCTGTCCTATATAGCACCTGACATTTTGGCTCATTTCAGCAAAATCTGCCTTTTTTTAGGCTGTCTGTTGAGGTAATACTGTAACTGATTCAAGATCAACATTACTTCGGCATTTAGGAAGCACAGCATGTATGGTAAGAGCAATACTGTATAGAAATAAAATGCTTCACGGTGGTAATCCCATGCCGCTGCCCTGCAGACTTTTTGGGTTGCCTCCACGTCGCAGGGGTGATGGCGGGGGCTCTGGGGGTCCGGTGGGTCGCCTCGGCTGGGGCAGGAGAGCCTCCTGCTCCCAGCGGGCAGCCCCGCTCTCCGCACTGCTGCGGAGAGACGGCGGCCTCCTGGGATATCCTCTCTGCATCAGAACTTCCCAGACTTTCCAGACTGGCTGTATTTTTATTATGTTAACATCAGAGATAAGAGCAAAACTTTCGTCTTTTAGGGATCAGCCCATGCCCCGAAGCTCAGTTCTGGATCTCAGCTTTTCTACTGGTCAGGGACATTCTCACCCTGAATTTTCATCAGGAAACTTCTCTCCTTTATAGCTAAAATGTGCTATAAAGGACTCTCCTTTATAGCTAAAATGTGCTGCATCCATGTGTAAGTGTCCACATGGGACACATATTATGTGGTACATACTACCACAGTCCCCAGCAGTACCACGTAAGTATCCATACCCATCACTGACTCCTAAACCTGGATAGTGCTGGCTTTGCTACACATTGAAACAAAAGTATATAATGAATGTATGTATGTGGCATCAAAATCTGTCCTTTGCAGCACAAACAGGTCAAGCTCAACAGAGGTTAAATCATAATATAATTCATCCACTCATGCATGCATGTCCCACTTAACACTCTGCGGAGCGAGGCAAGCATCACATTGTCTGTGTTTTTCCCTCTGGCCAGAATGGCATTCACACTGTAGTATTATATGCAGATAATTATAGCACATATCTTTTCAAGAACACGGTTTTCGTAAGCAAATAAATTGCAGGAATGGTATTATTCATCAGATGCAAGCAGCCATTTTCTTTTCTTTCCAAATGTTCTAGTTGGAAAATTATCCAGCACCTTTGCCTGAGTTCGGTAATACTGCTGCAGGGGTTTAGCTTGTTTTGCTTGATTTGGGTTTTATTTGCTCAGCATATACTGCTTATGACCCAGGTTCTCATTTGGTAAATACTGCTGTGATGAAGTTCACGTTTCGGATGTACTTAGATCCCTTTGCAGCAAACAAGGATGTGTCCTTGTATCTCTTTGAGCAAACAAAAAATTGTGCATGAGGGGGAAAGCTCCTATAGGGTGGTCTGGCTGATGCTAGCCATATACTGTTGAGATCTTAACAGAAGCAACTCATTTTCTTTTGCTCTCCAGATCTTAACTAACATCTCATTCACATCTTCAGTTTACTGCGTAGAGGATGTGATGAGCCCGATGGAGAGGTCAAGTGGTTTTGCATGTGGCTTAAGACACCTTCGGTAGAGAGCCATCAAAGCGCTCTCTACTCACAGAACAGGGGAAGAAAGTAGGTCCTGGAGGACCAACCTGAAGCCTCTTTGAAGCTCATTATGTCTGGTTTCCCTCTTCACAAACTGGCAAGCTCCTTCTCTTGACGATTCGCTCCTGCTTCCTCGCCATCCTCAGAGCTGTTTCCAATGCAGCGGTTCATGGGGCACCATGGTGAAACCGATCAGCGAGCTTTCCTGAGCTAAAAATACTCTCTGTCCATTTATTTATTTATTGTTCTGCATTATTTGTAGCTTTGGCATGGTTCACTGAGCAGCCCCACGGGAGAGGGGGAGCGAGGAGCGCAAGAGTAACCATGCCCTCCGCCTGCTGCATCGGCCTTGACCTAGTAAGCAGTGAAAAAGTCTGTGTTTCTCGGGACGGCTAAGCCAAGTTCAGAGCTCCAGCGCTTGTCCGATCCCAGGGGAAACATTTTCAAGTGTGTGCAGTTTCTCCTAGGACTTGTTTCAGTGAGCTGGACTGTGCAATCCAAGCAGTGCCAAGCCGTGTAGGGTCGATGGTGGGTATGGGTGGCCAGGAGGATGCCACTGCAGAAGACTACTCCTTCTACCCTTCCTTCGGTTCAGACGTAGCATAAACACTGCAGTTTTAGCATAGGGCCTCTCTTGAGTACCAGGGCAGATCTTTGTCGTTAACACTGGGGATGCAACGAGAGCATCAGGCCATTTGTGGACCCTGAAGACCAGAACAAGCTGACTTATGTGTCTTCATCTCTCTGAGCAGTCTAAACTGCACCAGCTTCTGCATTGTATTTCAGTGCTTTTCAAAATCATACCATTTTATAGATCAGATCTGAGATGCCTAAACTGAGCATCCAAACTGGGGTTTTGAACCATCTGAAAATCTTTTGTTACTGGCTTTTTCCTTTGTTGGAGGAGGAACGCAAATGCTGATTTTAAGCACAAGCATGTTGGAACAGTTAGGTTTGAAACTGGAACAGAAAATTCTGCTTAGGAATTTCTCGTCCGCTACAGAAGTTCAAGGCAAATGTAAAAAGGGTCATTTTCCAGACTTGATGCTCGTGCAGTAACAAGCGGCTCAGACGGTGTAATCACAGCCCCTGTTAAACTGTCCCCATTTACTAACAGTTGCTACTCTGATCCCAAACACCATAATGTTTATCTAGACATATAATGAGAAATAACTGGGGAATCTGAGTGAATAGCCTTGTTTTAAACATGGACAAAGAGTATTTAATCTGCTATCACTGTAGCTCCTTAATGGTGATGACTGTACTGAGAAGTAACACATGCTCAGCGAATGGTTTTGACGATTGATAAGTGTGTCTTTATCACTGTTTATTAAGTTATTTTTCCCACTAATAAAAATCAGTTGTCCGGTAAATCTTCAACAGGTGTTGTCTTATGTTACTAGCTCTGAAACTTATTTCCAGCTTTGTCAAGAGTCTTTGTTTTTTGCTTTATAGCACCCCACACAATGGTCTTCCAGTTTGTGACTGGTGCTTCTAGGAATTGTGGCTCTACAAAAGTATCATTTCATTTATTTTTTTCTCTCAGTTAAAAGAATGCAATTCTTTCAGTGTCTTATGGAAAGCTATGAGGTCAGGCTTGGGTTGCATTACAGCGACAAAGAGATAAAGGCCTCCTTGTGCTCCCACTGAAGAGCAAAGTTGGGCTGAAGCTTTCCACCTGGGAGGTGTTGTGAAGTCTTTTACCACATTCCCTTCTGTGTCATTCTCTTTTCCTCTGTATTGGCATAACTCAGAGGTGTTTTAATTTTAGCTATGTAGAGATAGCCTAGGGAATGACTGGAAGAGTACAAAGTTTCTGGGGCTTGTGTGTGGTGTTTTTTTCTTTAAAGCAATTCACATTTTGCTCTTTTATTGCAGTCGAATATAGTGGTGATAACTTGACAGTTCCTCTAGGTTTGGTAAAGCCGAGTAATAAAATTTTAGGTGGGGACTAATTTTTCCACCATGCAATTATAAATGTTTGTAATCTCAGTGGTGCTCTATATGGCACTGCTTCCTTCCCCAGCAACAAAGCAGGCTTAGGTGGATTTGTGTGCCAAAGCTGAATATGCCAGGAAATCTCCTGAATCTACCATTCTCCCCTATGTCGGAGTGGCCAGAGATGTGTGAGCCCTGGAGGTTCAGTTTGCTCTTAAAACCCGGACTTGTAGCTTGAGGGGTCCTGCAGGAAACCCCCGCTCCCTCCCACTGAGCTTACAAGGAGACCCAATGCCCCCCGAAGTATTGTAAATGGATCCTCGAGTATTGTAAATGGGTCCTCAGGGAAATCGCCTCTGGTGATACCTGGCAGCATACCACTTTCAATAGTGTTTGATGGCACTGTATCAGTGCCCTCTCCTCAGAAACTGAGTTACGTTTGTGGTACAGAAAACTTAGTGCTACTTAAGTGCGAAAGCCTCATCTTGGAGTTTTTTATATAACAGAAAGGGATGGAAGATTATTCCAGCTCTTAATTCTGGTACATCTCTGTGCCTGGGAAACGTCGCATGCTCCCTACACTATTGCCATTAGGGTCATGCAAGATAACATTCTTGTTTCTTATGAATCTGTGCTGATGCTGCACTTACTGTGGTGCTTGTAAAGATAGGTGGGCAACAAGTCTTTACCCTGTACTTATTCTTGCTTTCCTTCATGGAGCTTTCTTCTTTCCTCCACAGTTTGTCAAGGGACAAATAACAAGCTGACCCAGCTGGGAAATGTGGAAGACCATTTCACCAGCCTGCAGAGGATGTACAACAACTGCGAGGTGGTACTGAGCAACCTGGAGATTACATACGTGGAGCACAATCGTGACCTCTCTTTCCTGAAGGTTAGCGTTCTTGGCCAGTGTGGCCTTCCGTGCTAAAGGAATCTAGCTGCATTTTTTAAGTGCAAAGGATCAGCTACCTATAAAATTCTGTGGTGATCCAAAAACATAGCTAGCTAATGTCAGAGAAATTGCAGATCACAGTCTCGGCATACCTGTAGGCTGCAGGATGCACTCAACCCTACTATACTAAATCAGATACTTTGAGAAATAGCTTTTCAAGCACCTGCCAACCTGTGCTGGCTGCCATGCAGATGGGTTTCTTCTTATTTACAAATATTAATACTTCCTTACCCATTGCCTCATTCCTCAGAGGGCAGAAGGTTTTGTGGTGCTGTCAGGCAAAGCAAATCGCAAAGTGAGTGGCAACCCACTGACAGCAGATTTTGAAGTGTGGAGGCCCTTACCCCACCCTCCAAGCTGTGACCCCTTCCCCTGCCGTGGTGGTGAGTGCCTCTCCAGCCTGCAGCGCCCGCACACCAAGCAGGCGGGCAGGTCCTGTGCAATAACTTCCCACGTGGACGCTTCAAGCGATCTTCAAGATAATCCTCTGTGGTTGACACACGGGCTACTCCCATCTCAACAATTGTGTTGTGCACAAGCGCAGGAGCGACCATGGAAAGCTGAGAGGGGAACAGACAGGGGATGGATGTTAAAACGCGGCCGCAGCATGGGGAGGAGCACTGTCTGCCATGGGGACCTCCAGGTTCTCCACCAGCAGAGACTGGGCAAGGGGTACTACTATTGCCAGTGGCAATAGTGTCGCACCTTAGTTTTTGGTTTTTTTTTTAAAGAAGTTGTTTTAAATGCATTGCTTTTCACATGCCTCATTATCAGATTAGGAGGTTTTCAAAGAAAGAGGCAGGAGAGGAAGAAGTTTTTTTGACATGATAAGTGTATGTATGTCTGGTATCCAGAGCTCTTGTATGGTAGCTTTGATTAAACAGGTCAGTCCTCTGGGTTGAGACAAGTAATCTCTTTGTGTAAGCTTTTCTTCTCAGAGAACAAAGAAAGGGAGGAAAACATTTCATTATAATAACAAGCAAGAACATCAGAAAAGAGATGGTTCAGACATACAGGTTACAAATATGATGGTATTGCCATTTTTCTTTCCCAAGCGCAACTTGACCATGAAGCTCAGTGTTCCTAGGAACGTAACAGGTCTCTTGAAAACTCACTGGTCTTCATAGAATAGGAGAATATCCTAAGTGTTAGCCTGAGGGTTTTTCATTTATGGTGATTTTTGTAGGAGATAGAAATGCACACATTTCACAGTACAAGGGAGGAATTAACCTACATCCAGGGACAATGCCTTACTTGTCTTGTTGTCTTGTAACTATTTATTACTTAAGAGTGAGAAGGTTACCTGATCTTCCCCTCTGCTGAGCAGAGGATCCCTTGGCACAGAAGAGAGAGTATAAAAGCCTCAATCAGATGGTGCCTCTGTGCTGCCAATGGTTGGAGGCTGGGCAGGTATTCAGGGGAAGTATCACACTTGGTTGCCATATCATACATGCTTGCCCTGTTCTCCTGCATCTCCTAGGCAGCCCCACTTCCCCTTGCTTGGGGACAGAACAGGGGTAAGCTGGACCTTTGGAATGACCCCCTAGTAGATGCTCTAAGGGTCAGTTTATACCTGCTTTCCACATAGTCCCTTCTTGTCCTCGTATTTATTTATTTTTTAATGAGATTAAGTGGTTTATCGTTCCTTAAAATTGAAAGATGGTGGATTGGAGGGGTGGGAGGAGGAAAGTGACTCTGTCAAGAGTAGAAGAGTGCTATGGATTAAGCACCTTGTTTCTTGTGTTGTTCTCTCAGACGATACAGGAGGTTGCAGGCTACGTGCTCATCGCGCTTAACATGGTGGATGTCATTCCCCTAGAAAACCTCCAGATCATCCGAGGCAATGTGCTGTATGACAACTCTTACGCCCTGGCAGTTTTATCAAATTACGACATGAATAAAACCCAGGGACTCCGAGAGCTGCCAATGAAACGGCTATCAGGTAAGGGCAAGGGGTGGAGGCACCTGTAAAGCAAACTTCAACTGTTAGGTTATTGGTATCAAGATCCGACTGAAGATCTCCCCTCAGAGTCATATGCCATTAAATCCTGCTTTAAAAACAAGGATCTGAATGTAGTTTCCCAGTTTCCTAATTGCTTTCCTGCTAGCCAGCCTTCTTCAAAAGACGAAGAAAGTTCAAAATTTCCCATTGCAGAAAGATCCAGAAAATTCAAAGCATCGGCAGGGTGGTGAGATTTATTTGTGTCCACCAAAACGGCAAAGAAGTATCCACTCGTTATTTTGCATTATTTGATTCCAGCACGTGCATGTCAGTATTTTCTGTTAAATTCCAGTGGGAGCTGGTGGTATGTGACTTAGTCACTACACAGTCCCTGGCTAAAGGTCTCTGGCTGTGCACACCAGCAGTGCCATCTCTGCTGAGTGTAGTGGCCTCTGGAGGTGGCACCAGGCAGAAAGCCACATGTAGTGGCATCTTAGTGGCATCCAACAGCAGCCGACACTCCAGAACCCGTCAGTCTGACCCTGCTGTTAGTTGCGCCATCAGGAGTGCTGGTGCCGTGCAGATTGTCCTTTTCTGTCAGCGTACTGTGACTGAGGCGAAGAAACGTGTTTTATTGCCGTTTCTTTAGATTGGAGACAGAAGACTTAGGCAGTTTGCTTCGCTTACCAATTTTTTTTCTTCCATGGCAGAAATTCTCAATGGAGGTGTTAAAATCAGCAACAACCCCAAACTGTGCAACATGGACACTGTTCTCTGGAATGACATCATTGACACGAGCAAGAAGCCTCTCACGGTGCTTGAATTTGCAAGCAACCTGTCTTCTTGTGAGTATTAACTTAGCAAAAATGCTATGCACTTCCCCATTTCAGAGACAAGAACAAAGATCCCATCTTTCATGCGGTGCGTTTCAGGTCCACCAATTCCTGCATGCAGGACCACCAAGCCCTGTTCCAAGGGAAGCCCATTCATTTCTTCACCACTGGCCTAAGATGTGATTTTTCATGGCGGTTATGTCCTTAACTCATAGCTCAGCGAAGTTCTTGGGAAAGCTTCTCTTGGTTTCAGACAGTACCCTGCGTATGTGTTTCTTCAAAGACAGCTCAGAATAATGTGCACTCGTTTGTTTTCCAGCAATCTTCTGTTTACAATATAAGGCTCTGGTCTAGAAGACCCATATGGGTACCTTCATGGAGTTACTGTGGGACTTGAAGCCTTTTTAGCGCAAGGACCCAAGTTGAGTGCCATAAAACTCTGGTGTTTTGGGCTGCACGGATTATCCTTGCAAAATTAATGATAAACAGGCAGATAAATCTGATGCTTTGGATCAGCAGGGAGATGAGCATATATTTAAAAGTTTGTGTAGCATATGCTTTGAGTGGGCTCAAGCTAATCCTTCAGCCTTATGAGTCCCTTGTAAAATCCCCAGTCATTTCACGGAAAGGAGAGTTTATTTTCATTTCTAAGCATTTCATTTCTGGCACTGTAAATTGGCGGAAAAACATATTTTCTTTATCTTCTTCCAGTTGCGTAATTGCCTGAGAGCTAATAGCCAACTTCTGTGTTGACATATTTTTCTGCGGAGCCCTAGCGTAATCAAGGGGCTGTGAACAATACAAGTCAGCACAGGAGTTTGGCTCTAAACACCACAGAAATGTTAACCTTTAACTTTTCAACTTTAAAAAAAAAAAAAAATAGTTCTTTGGACCTGCACCAAATCAATCAACTCTTGGACAAGTATTGGCATTTGTTCAGCTATTTGATGGGTGGTGGGGGGAACGGAGAATCATGTTGTTAGCAGAAAGAATCACTCTAGTAGGAAATGCCTCTTAAATGTAGTGAATTCCAGATTAATCTGCTTAGACAGCCATTTATGGTTTTAATAATGATCCCGTAATCTAAAATAAGTTGTTTCTCTGGGACTTTGCTTGTCATTAAGAGAAAGAAAAAGAAAGAAAAGAATAAGGAGGGAGGCATGGGAAAGAGCTCGGCACTGAACCTTCAAGGTCAGGCAGAGTGTCCATCCATCCTGCCGCCTCTCCTTCGATTGTCCATCTGCCGTGTAGTCCTACGCCGAGGGGTATTTTTGGCAGAGGGCAGGAGGAGGGTGCGAAGCAGACAAGTTGAATTACTTTGTGGTCGGAGTAGCTGGCAGTTGCCTGCGAATCCAGTTGGGTTTGTTTTCTTTTTAGAACCGCCTTGTTCAGAAACATTGATTTACATGTAGCCTGTAGCGAGCAGCTGGCACATGCCCGGCCGCAAGCCGGCGGTGACTTGCTGTTGCATGCAAACTCCAGCAGAAGGGCCAGCCGGGCAGTAGCTGAGATTCCTGTTCCTGGGAAAAATATGCCTCTTTCGTAAGCTAGACTGGCTGGGTATTGCACTTGCTTGCTCAGAGGTGTGGAGAACTGCACGTAGGAAACCAGAGATGAAGAAAGGATAAGGATTTAAGGTCCAGCTCTCAAAATTTTTGAGCACTGGTATATAGGTGCTTTCTCCCCTGATTTATCGAGAAGGAAAGCTCAAGTCTTTGTTTTCTGTGACTCGTGTGATGTTGTTGTTGTCCATGTTTATAGAATATAATACTCTGCTCTCGTGTTTTAGGTCCCAAATGCCATCCGAACTGCACAGAAGACCACTGCTGGGGCCCTGGCGAACAGAACTGCCAGACATGTAAGCCTGCAGATTAATTAAGAAATATCTTGTGTGCTCTGACATACTAAATATCTATCTACCGAAGAACTAACCTGTCAAGCACAAATAAGCAACACGTGTTTCACACGTGTCCTTCTCTGCATGCCGCTGCGCTGGAGCTCCTTGAAGCACACCACGGAGGGACATGGCCTGCTTCCCGCTCTGCAGAAGCACGGTCGCGGGGAGGACGGCCGTGCCCGCTCCCCCTGAGTAGCTCCATTTCTGGAGGGGAGACCTCGAGGTGGTTTGACTTGGGTCTGGGTTTCCCTGCAGATGTGCTGTTCCTCCAGAGGGAAAAGACTGCAGCTGTCTCCTGTGCTGAAAGCTTTTGTCTGTCGCCCACAACTTTCTCCCATCTGCACTTGAGAACATTTATTCTTTAAGTTATTTTACCATATAAAAGAGAACGCAGTAGCTGCGTGGTGAATTGTTTGCCTTCCTGCTGTTTCCCGCAGAGCATTCTGCAGGCTAGTTAACGATACTTTGGATTAATTTCTACTATGAGAAGCAACAACATAACCCGATTTTTGCTGGCTTTGATTCCTCTTTCTGGAATCCCCATAGGTTTCTTTTGTAAACACAAAAGATGTCAACTTCATGTGGGTAATCACACTACATACTGTACTCGGAGGACCTTAAGAAGGCTCTCAGAAAATGCATAGCCATTTTTTAATTTGTAAATGGAAGTATTTGGCATTGTGAGGTTGTTCAGTTTGGTTGCCTGTGCTTTAGTGTAAAATTGTGCAGGTAGGATGTGTGCCTGATATTAAAAGAGAGACAGAAACATCCATTTAGAAGTGCTTGAGATTTTGCAAGGCTTTATTTCTCCTAAAGTAAAGGCTGAGGAGGAAGCCCATCTCAATTTGTTTTGATACTTCATTATTTCCTTTTTCTGTAGTAAGTAGGGAAATGCACTGTTTTTGATTCTTCTTTCCTGCCGGTTTTGTGTAAAGTTCAGTGGAAGCACTGCTGATCCAGACCTAATGCAAATGAAAGGAACACCCTATCTTTGGTTTTCCCGTTGCAAATAATCACCTAAACCAAAGTTCCTTGCTTGCAAGTATCAGGCCAAATCTGTATGGTTTCTGGACCCTAAGGAAAAAGGAACATACAGCTTCTCTCTCTTCATGTAGTGTAAGTTTTAGGTTTTTTTTCAGTTAGCTCTGCAGTTTGGCTCGTGTCTTGAACTGCTCTTGAGGTGGACAGTGGCTGCACACACAAAGCCCTTCCCAGGTTGGTCCTGGCAGCTGAGACCACCTAGCTGTCCCGGGGGCTTGCAAAACCTCAGGTCTCAGCCCTGCAAGCTTCCAGCATTTACAAACTCTTGCTGGCTTCGGGAGGATGACTAGGAGCACATAAAACAAAACCGTTTGCAGGCTCTGGCTCTCCTCTCGAGGCATTTGAGAATCTAGCCAACTGAAAATGTATCCCACATTTCCATATGTGGGAAAGTTTGGGGTGATACGTATCTTCCTCCTTCAACGAACGTGAGATACTCTGTATGAAATATAAACGTTTGCCGTGATATATGTTTCCAGCAGGAAGCTCTAGTCAATAGCTATCAAAGTGACGAGCTGTTTTACTCCCCTGCTGATGCTTATGAAAAAAATGATATCAAAATGCTGTTCGTGTAGAACAATGTGCCTTTTATTCCCCTGTTTCTAGTTGAACGAAGGAGTTGCTATCACAGAAGCTAATGTATATTGTGGAAATAATCAGTTTCCTTGAAAATATAATATCTTGCTTACAGGCCTACAAGAAAAATGAAATCATACAGTTTGGATACAAAAGTGTGTAATGGAAAAAGATAGGAAATATGATTTTTAAAAAATCACTGTTACATAGCAGTAATGTAGCAGGCTACATTTTCCAATAATTTTCTGTTAATTAACAACCATCTGTTTCGGACTTACAGGAATTCCTGACAATATTGTAACTCATTTGTGCCAGCTGCGAGGTTGATAACAGTTACTGTAGTGCACAGCCGAAATGCTCAGGGTGCTGTAATGCAGCGGATTAGCCATCAGGTTTCTCTGACGTCTGATGCCAGGGTCTGTGGATCAGTAGTTTTTTTGTAGAGAACAAACAATCCCATTTTGGGTCTCTGGTACAAGCACATGCTAGCCATTAATTTCTGGGGTTTTTTTAATTGTTCTGAATATCATTTTCTCTGCTTTGATATTCAAATGGAGACAGTTTCCCGATTCTCAACCAAATGTTGCAGGCAGTTTTTGCTTCCCTGCAAAAAACTGAATCAGGGCCAGTTCTTCCTCCGGGTTGCTGCACTGGTGCAAACCCGGTGGGAGTTGAGTAATGCAGATAAAATTTGGCCAAGGAATTGAAGCCTAAAGAAAAATAATACAATATGCGTATGAATTCGGTTTGCTGAGGGGGTCTCCCCTCCCTCTGCAAATTTCAGAAATATTTTTAGTGCATTGAAGAGATCCTAACACCACACCAACAATGTACGGTTTCCCGTTATAGTACAGAGTCCTGGCAGTTCTCCTGTCGTGTTGTTTTTCCCAAAGCTAGCGCCAATAATAGCAGATTTTCTCAACAAAATGGAGCCAGATCGTGCTCTATTGCCCAGCTGTAAGCTGCAATGTCTCCACAGAGTTTTTCTTGGTTTAGGCATTGGTGCCACAGGGACCTGGATGCTTTTTCTAAGGAGGACATGGTTTGCTGGCTGGGACCAGAGTGCTTAGCACCTTGCAAAAGCCAAGATAATTACGGGCTGAACACCACCCCTTCTCGCCAGTGACCATCCACACCAGCTCTCACCCCTGTATCAGGACAGAATACGCATCCCTTGGGGAAAATCTAGCACAGATCCTGCACCAGACCTTTTCTCCATATTTCTTGATCTCATTGCAGCAAGTACAGCTTAAACGTTCTTCATTCCTGATGTTTTTCCTTTTTTCTTGTGTCTTCCAGTAACGAAAGTCATCTGTGCCCAGCAGTGCTCTGGCCGGTGCAGGGGGAAGGTGCCCAGCGACTGCTGCCACAACCAGTGTGCTGCAGGGTGCACGGGGCCTCGGGAGAGCGACTGCCTGGTAACGATGCCACACCACCACCATAATTGCTTAAATCCCTGGGCACGGCGAGGCAGGCTTTCGGCTCCATGTCCTCTAGCCTTCTTTCATCTGAGAAGGCCTCTGAGAGATGCTGACCTGGAGGGTGCCCCGGGGTTTCCCTGCACGGGTGGCCAGTGGGAGGGAAGAGGACATGAACTTCACAGCACCCTTAGCTGGTCTTTACTGACTCTGCAGGTGGACCTTCCTGACGCGTGCCAAACCAGTGTTAGTGCCTTCGAGAGCCCAGTGAGCTCAAAGTTGTTGCAGAGCAGCTAAGTGTTTGCTGTAGGGCAACTTCCCCCCGTAGGCAGGTACCCAAGTCCTCGGGTGTAGTGCCATGCCATCACAGCTTTGCCATGTGCTCCTTAATGCTAGTCAGTAATAATCTTAGTTTACCAAAGGAAGAACTTGTAAGGGTGCTCAAATATGATGGATCTTCACTCTTTTTGCATTTCATTGAACTTCAGACACAAAATCAAGGTTTCCCTTTCTGGTTTTCTCTTGCTGCAAAAGCAGTGTCTTTGGGGGACCCTAGGGCAGTGGAGGGAGAAGGAGCAAATGGAGCTTTTTTAGGAAAAAAAATCCCATTGCTTTTCTACAAGAGTTTCAGCGGGTTGGTGCATGCTATGTTTTTAACTCTTCCCTATGTTTGCACTACACTTCATTCTGAATTAGTGACACTTGAGTAATTGCCACAGAAACTGTCTGGTCTTGGTTTTGTTGTTGTATCTGTATTCCTGGTCCCCTTATAAATTGTATGGCTATGATGCCCTTACTGACTCACAGAGGAGACAGTTATTCTCTCTCATCTGGAAAGCCAGGGAAGAAAAAAGGGGAAAAAAGAGTGATTATTAATTTAATGCAGAATTAGGTTGGAAGAACCAACTTGTCCTTCATAAATGCCTTGCTAAATTGTTCATTACCTGCAGCCAAATATAATGGTTTCAGTTTAATATTTAGCCAGAAAATAATCGGCAGGAAAGGACTTGATTTGATTTAGGTTATTAAAAAGCAGCCAAGAAAAGTACCGTTTGTCTTGATCTGGTTACTGCTTG